CCCACCCCACCCCCACCTCCAAACCATCACACACATGCACATACACACCACTTTCTCTCCCACTCAGAGTTTAGGAAACAGCTGGAAAAGCAAATAGTTGCAGGTAGGCCGATTGGCCCTCACACATGACTGGACCGTTGCTTAGATGAATGCAGTCCTCACACTGATTTTTCAGCTGCAGCCGAAAAAAGGCACAAGGGACGGTGCAACTGCACAAACCTTGAGGAATTCTGCACAAGTTGGCAAACACACTCTTTGATCAACTTAGCAGTGTGTGGTGATAAAGATTTGTAGCGGTGTCACCTTCATGTGCCACAAGCTTTGATTTATTTGGTAAACAAATATGTCAAGGCTGGAACATTAGGGGACTTTTTTTCTACACTGAAATTATTAATAATATTATCCTCCCATGTAATGCATCTGTGTATTATATATTTAGATCAACGTTTTTGAATGAATCAAGGTTGGATGGTTTACAGAATGTATTATACAGAATGTTTCTGTATAATACACAAACTCTCTCCTATTCTAGATGTCATACCAAAATATATTGTAAATACTTCCTGTTTCTTTTGTGGGCCCCTATTATAAAGTTTGTAGAGTTTATTGGGGTGTCCCATATCTGTTATGATCATAATTGTATTTTTAAAGGGGCCCTATTATGCTAATTTTCCTGTCTAATATTTCTATTTTGTGCCTCTTCTGTGAAATGTTTACATGCTATATTGTTCAAAAAGCACTTTATTTTTCTCATACTACCTGTGGTGAAACACCTCTTTTCACCCTCTGTCTAAAACCAGAGCCCAGTCTGCTCTGATTGGTTAGCTGGCCAGCTCCGTTGTGATTGGTCAAGCACCAATTGCGGTATTTATTCTACCGCATACAATTTGATGGAGCACTAGCCAATAGAAGTGTGCATGTTTTGTAGTCACTATTCCGCAAAGGGAAACAAAGGACTACTATCTAAGTGTGTGGGAGTGAAACTCCCTCTGGAGTGACCTTTGGGATTTGAGCCTTTCTAGACTATTTACATGCACAAAAACCTATATAAGACTCTACAGGTAGGGGAAAGCCCCAAAAAGCGTAATAAGGCCCCTTTAGACTGTTTGTGAATAAAGTGAATTAAATAAAGCTTCTCATGGATATTTTGACCGAAAAGAGGATCCAGCAGGAGGGCAGCAGAACTCGAATCTTCCTCTGTCCCAATTTAAAAACGTCATGCTCTGCTTCCAATTTCTAAACAGTGTCCTCATCAGCCTCCAACGTCAATAACCTCACCCCAAATCCAAGACAAATGTTCTGCATTCTTTCCAATCAGACTTGAGGGAGTTTGAAAGCTGAGCAAAACTGGGACATGGGGTCAGTAAGTCAGCACATTTACTGTAGAGTAAGCCCTGTTTTATCTTCAATAGTCTCATTTAATTTAAACTAAAAACATTTATTGTCATGACGTGTGTTTCGGTATGAATCTCATGTGTATGTGCAAATAACATTTATACCCAAACTGAATGAAACAAGAAATTGTGGATAGCAGGACCTTTTTTTTCTGTCATTCAAATAGGAAACATTTTTAAACAAGTGGCCAAACACAATTTCAAATTCAAAGATCAAAAGTTGTTATTATCATATGGGAGTGTGTGGCAGAGAATCCCCCTCTGGAGGGAAGTTTGGGATTTTAGTATTTACAGACCATTTACATGCACTAAAACATATATAACACTATACCGGAAAGGGAAAACCCCAAAAAGCATAATAGAGCCTCTTTAATGCCAGGGTTCTCCAACAGTGCAACATACAATATACTTGAGACATATAGAAATAGGAAGTCAAATACTGTAATAAAAAATGATGCAATTGTAACAATGGTGCAAGTTATAAGCAGGAATAAGTCCATGCAAGAAATAAAAAGGATAACATATATTTTGTTTTCATTATATTTCATGCTTTAAGGATTTCACTTTTGAGACTGTAACACAAATCGCTACGACTCACGTCTACCATTCTGAATACCATGTACACATTATTTAAAGTGGACCTATTATGCTATATTGGAAAAATATGTTGTAGGGCCATACCTATACAAAACATGTCAGTGAAGTTTTTTGCTTAAAATACCAAACAGATAACTCATTGTAGCCATACCTCATACTGCTCATACCCTTCTTTTGCAGCCCTGTTAGAGAAACACGGATTTTGGGTCCTTAGCAAAAAACAAAAAGAGGAGGCGGAGCTAATGCAAGATCAGAATTCTACCGGAGATAAAGTTAAATTCTGCTGTGATAAAACGCCATCCTGTTNGGAATGGTTGTGAGAAAGACTGGCCCTGTGTCCACGAAGTCTGACGGCCCGTCCAGACGACGAAGTGAATGGGCAGAAGCGTTGAAGCTTCAACGCACGCCGTCGTCTGGACGGGCCGTCAGACTTCGTGGACACAGGGCCAGTCTTTCTCACAACCATTCCTGGAATCCATTTGTGATCTCCTCCCACTGTGCTTCGCAGATACACAGAGTCGTCCTCTTTGAAGAATTGTTCTGCAGCACTGCGGTCATGGCGATCTTTTTGTTTATATTGTTTATTTCGCACAGTCTCTTTTGTGCAAGGCTTAAGGAAATCCAGCCTTGTCCTGATGTGTCTGTGCAGAAACAGATCCGCTGGGGATTGTCCAGTTTTGCAGTTTGGTGTTGATCGATACTGCAACAGAAACCAACAAGTCCTCCAACTCACACGACCAAATATGCCGATTGTTCAGGCCCAATTATTACGACCAAATGTGTTGTTTGTTCAAGCGCTTAATACGTCCTATAATTACGTTTTAAAGTTTTCGCCCTCTAGTGCTCCCGTTGAATGCAAACGTTACAGATGGTCGTTTATTCACAAATAACCCTCTCTGTAAAATCCTAAATTGTAGGATAGTTTGGCCATTAAAATGCTTTTTGATTAGTTTTCTAGCGAGAAGTGTATATTGTACTTTTAGAATCCACGTCCAGTCGATATGTAGGATCTATAGTTTGATAGATATTACGAAGAGGATTTTAGGTATGCGGCAGCCTCCATGTAAAGTTACGGGTTGAAAACAGTATTTCCGGTCTCGACGTTTTCATAATAAAGCCAATGATCAAATGATTTAACAGTGATATCTGCAGTACTCATCCACTAAAAAACATCAGTTTATCCTTGTTAATTATATGACATCTATTGGTTTAAGGCGAGACACGGCAGGCAAAAACATCGTTTTTCATGCACAGGTCAATTTTGACATTTTGTGCCATTTTGATTCCATATTATTTTTTCTTTCAGGGTTTGGAAGGACAATGTACACAATACACATTTAGGTCAATTTCTGACAACGTGATTCTTTCAGATGCGTCACGTGGTGTGCTAAAACACTTCCTGGTTAGCTTTCTGCTAGAAATTTAAATCTCAAAATGGCAAAAGAACAGCGAAAAAAACTTTCACAGAGAGGACGACAACAATTGTCACTTGCATGAAGCAAGGTTATACAAAAAACAAATGACCCCGAACATGAAATACCTTCACGGAGTATGTTTTTAAAGGTCGTTTTCTCAAAATGAGTTTTTTCTCCTACTCTGAGTTCGAAATGTCCACTTCAGTAGCACGTACATACACCAAACCTTCCAGTTATAATCCTATCAATATTATGAAGGCTTCTACAGAAGGGTTTGTTCATATCATTCATTTTATACCTAAAAACATGGAGAAAATTGATATTTTAGGGCTGTTGACAGTATTTTCTGATTTATGGAGTGATAAAAAGAGATATCCAAAATCCCTTCTGTAAAAGCCTTGGATACTAATATGACAACAAAATGAAACAATAATTTTGAGCCTGGCTTTATCCAAAGTTCAGATTTCGGTTCCTGAAATGTGTTAAAATATGCGCATATTTCATGAGATAATGATCATTTGCATATTTAAACATGCTATTTCAGAAAACTTGTAATACAATAAACAATTGCCTTATTGTAAGTAATTAACTGGAGAAATGTCTAGCTGATATCTTTAAGTTAAAAAAAGTACCCTATTCACCTGGGGTGTCTCTCCTTAAATTGTGTACAATGCTTTTGTGTTTTTCCCATAGGTTTTTCTCTTTCGATTCTGAGAGACACCTTTCTTTTTTCAGAGGTTTTGATAGGCTAAAACATCGCAACAATGCGTGTCGGGATATGGTGTTTATCCGATATGAAATCGGAAATCTTTTT